CTTTTGAAAACCATGCCAAGCCCAGGATCCCAGGCATAAACCTAGCAAGCAAATTCCTTATAGAGGCAGAAAACACACAGCAGCCCAGGAAGCAGAAGCCCCAAGGTCTAGTCCTGGCTGTTGCTGCCTATGCATGACCTTGGGCAAGTCCCGAACCTCTCTCTCTAGGCCTCGGTTTCCCCTTCTGGGATAGGAATGGGGATTGGACCCTTTGATCTGCAAGGTCCCTGATTATTTTATCATCCCGTGAGTCGAAGATGAAGGCTTTTCAACTGCACATTTCTCAGCAAGGATGAACAAAGCAGCTTTTCACCCCTCAGGTGTACAACAGAGAGGGGGCCACACTGTTTGGTGGCCTGAGTAGTCATTACGAGGCCAGCTGCAAACTTGTGTTTTCCTCGGGGAGCCAGGAGAGCGTCTCTTTCAAACAAAGCTGGCACTTTCATGTTGCTGGCATCTGTGTTTGCTCTCTGGCTAATTCAACACTTGGGTGCCCTGGTGTGGATACTTGCAGGAGGGCCAGCAGGCAGTTCTGTTCAAGGTTCGTAGTGGATTTAAGAGCCTTGACTCTCCAAGTTAGTTTTCCCAACTTGCATATCACAGGTTAATACTGGACTCATGGATAATGATACATAATTTGAGACTTGTAAAAGCTGCCTTGGACTTGAAAGAGACACATTCTAAGCCAGGAAAGTTGTGCCAGCATGCAAGAGCAAGTAACACAGGTCTAATGCATCATGTCCAAAGCCAGGGGGCCACGCCCTTTTGACACGATTTCAGAAGGTACCGTGCAGGTGTTCTGAGCCCTCGGCGGCCAGGCAATGGAGCACCGCGGCCAAACAGCACCACCACCACTTGCTCTTACCTTTATTTTCATAACCATTGGAAGGCAACGAAGGGAGATTCGTTATTTGTAATGGACCCAGAAATATCACCTGGATTTGAAGTGATGCAACAAGAATGCCCTAATGGTTCCTAAACTCAGCTTTTAAGACTTCTGGGGCCAGGATCGTGAAGAACGGCCCCAGGGCACCCTTCTCCCTCAGCTCCCCTTGCTGTTTGTTGGCATTGTTGGAGGCTGACATAGCCCTAGCCGGGATGTTTAGCTGCTTGTGGGGTGGAAAAAAAAATGTTAAGAGAAATAATTGTTGTTTTTGCAAACTATCTATTTAAAAACAGAACCTCAGGAAGCAGATTCCTGTTCCAGTGCTTGGATGAATCAGAGCTTACAAAGTATAAATACACATTAGCAGGAGGAGGCTTCCCATAACCCATTTGCTTGTGTGTCTTCCCAGACCAGGAATCTCTGAACTGGTTTCTCACTCCCAGCAGAGGCAAGAAAAAGACCCGCAGCTGAGGCGGAAATGATGGTGCGTCGCTCGGCCCAAGTTTCAAATCCCTGTTTGAAGATGGAGGCCTTTCTTCTTTAAAGGCAACTGGTTTTCAGCTGCACACTTGCCCACTTTTGGACAGACAGATGTTGTTTGGGAAGGTGGGGAACCCACCCTTTGCTTCTTTGCGAAGAAAAAATTAGTAAATAGGTTAATTTTGACTCATCTGACCCCTCAGATGAGCTAATAAACGTGAAGCTAATAAACTTGCTCACGGGGCAGTGTAATTATTTTACTTAAAAATGATGTCAGGCAGCAATTTAGCAGCAAACCGGCTTCCAGGCTACTTAGTTCAGTTTAATAAGGAGGAAAAACATTGTAAGTAATGAAGAGCTTACCCTTTGGTACTTTAGTAGCTTTGTTCTCAAATTTTACTGTACGTATAGCAGGAAGGTGGAGAGGCAGCTTGTGGAAATACAGATTCCCAGGCCCAAATCTGGCAAGCCTGGTCTAGCAGGTCTTGAGTTGGGCCTGGGAGGCTGCATTGAAGAGAAACCCACTTGAACGTTACGCTTCTGATCATCACCCAGTGTTAGCTGACACCCCCTCCACCTCATACGCACTTGGCTTTTAGTCATTTAAGATACACTCCTCTTCCATTTTAATTCTACGTTAAAGAAGTCTAGAATCTCAAGGCAGATTCGAATCTCACGGGTAGTTACCCATCCTAAGACAGCCAACTTCAAGTTAATTCTTTCGTGAAGTTTCCTGGCATATTCTAATGCTAGAGTTGTAGTCGGCCGAGATTCGGGACTGAAAGTTCTTTATTGTCTAGACCTCCCTTAAAGTGGATTCAGAACATTCATGGGGAATAGTGAAGACACTCAGTCCTTCTTTACCTCTCTAACCAGGGCCCCACAGCCTGCTTCATTCTCTCTGGAGAATGGGGGAACCACCCCTTGCAGTTAACGTCCTGACTTTGAGCTGGCCCCAGATGAGCCTGATCTGCACCTTCCCACTGCCAAGAGTGTCCGGGGCAGAAGGCTTGTTAGGTTGACACATGCGAACCTCAAGATTACCTCCCTCCTGGAATAAAGAATTGCGTAGGTTCGTTAAACAAACTTTTTTTTTTGGGCACAAAAGCATTTGGCAGCTACCCAAGGAATTCTGGGGTCCTGCGGAATCCAAGTTAACAAACCACCAGAGCAAGGTGTTGCTTCAGGACAGTGTTTGAATTCGGCACTGCTAAACCGGACTGTCTCCTTACTGGCTGGGTCTGTCCCAGTAGGGCATCTCCCTCTCCCTCCCTCTGACCCCACCCTACAGAAACCAGCTGTCTACCAGCAGATTAGTTAAAGTATTGCTACATCAGGGCAGGGAGATGCCACAGGAACCCAGGCTTACCACTGCCCAGGTCCTCCAGGCAGCCTCTGCAAGAAGTCAGAGGCCACTGCCAGCCACTCCTAAGGCTCTCACTGACTCAAGTCCCTTGCTGGCCTTGGCTCATGCCCAAGGAGCTAAGGCTATTCAAAGCCCGCCATCCTTTCTGAAACAAAATGCCTATCAGAGAACACAATTCCTAGCCTGGTACAAAAAGAGAAACTAGTTTTCCAAGCAAGCTTTTGCTTTTCCTCTATTCAAAGTCTGTTGGTGGAGCATTTACTGTGAAAACCAGAGATGGGCGGACAGACGTGGATGTCGAAGCGCTGGGGAACAGCTCAGAGGAGGTGCAAGCTCTGGCTTCCTAACCAGCAGCAGGAAACTCCGGGTGGCTCCAGTGTAGCTGCTGGAAGCCATCCAGGCGCCCGCCCATCACCGCAGCTCATCCCTCACTACAGATGGCCAGAGGCAAAGCTCCCCCAGCCCACCCTGCGAGGTGGGGGCTGGGCCGCAAGTGAGAGAAGCACCGCTCCCCTGCTTTTCACCAGTGCCCGAGTATGGCCCTCACAGAATGCCAGATGCCCAGCACCCATGGCTGTGTGATGGGACCGCTGAACACTCCTCCCTGGGAACAAGGTGATGCACAGATGCTCCCTAATGCCAGCAGCTTAGCTTCTACCTACTACCTCCCGTGCAGTGAGGAAACGGCTAGACCCAGGGCTCAGCATCCACAGAAGGCTCGAGGGTGTGGCCTGTAATGAGGATGGTACATTAATATTAATCTAAGTAGCCAGGAAAAAAAAACAAAAACATTAAATTTCCTCATTCCCCAACTCTCATTCCCAACTCTTTTAGTGCGGTGGCTATTTCTCTTGAGTGCTCAAAAACAATTCACCTCCATGCTACAAGCCATTAATCCAGTGGTGTTTATTCAAGCCGTATTCACACTTGCTGTTGAATAACCCCTTTCTAAGTGTTACAGGACAGCCGAACAAGGGCAGCAAGACCCCCTGGGATCGGGGCTGCCTCCACTCCAGCCCCACAGTTTCTGAGAACTTCAGATGAATTTTGTGGTTTCAAAGCCTTTCAGTGATTCCTCAGTCCCATCAAGCTCTAACCTACTGTAATACCCCAATCATCAGAAAAGACCCAGTGGGGTGGCAAAGCTGCAAGACAAAACCAAGTACAACTACTGAAGCTCAGGAGTCCACACTGTTCCGTGTTTTCATACAAAAAATTTAATAAATATTACTTTTCAAAATTTATTGCCAGGAACAACACATCAAAGATGCATTTTTATGTTCATATAACACTAATAGGACAATACAAAGTATCTTCCCGGTCTCAACGGTGAACCAACGCGATTACTCTGTTTCATAAGCCTTGTTGATCTTAAACATCATAATAGCACTTTGATTTGCTCACTTAAGGCGGGCAGTGTAATCTATGGCAAATCTAAACAGTGATCCTACTGGACATGTTACGGTTCAAGTATTCAACTAGCTTATTAGAATACTCCCTAAATGCAGTAGATAACAACAAAAATAAATCAAATCTACAAGTGGTTCAGTATTACATACGAATGGTGAAAAAAAATCAGAATTTACAAAATAAGATGGGTGTGCTTCCAATGTCACACAATTAATTTGATATTTTTAATGATATTCAACCACTCACATTTTGGCTACGTTAAGTCATAGTTCAACTTTATCCCTTAAACTGCTTTGCAGCAGATCACCTGCCTGTCTCTTTTCAAGTCTAAAGCAGAAAAATAAAAGAACCTGTTCTAGACTAATTCTCCAACTGCCTCAGTCAGTCCTTAAAACATGTTTGAAAGTGATGCTATAAAGTGTTTTAAACATCCGACGTCGTACAAAAAAAAAAAAAAATCCCATCAGTCTTCAGGCACGGAAGCCCATCCTATCGTTTTAAAATAAACTATTTCCAAACCTTAATTTTGGCTTATAGGCAACATGTAATAAGAAAATAAGTTCAAAAAAAAAAAAAAAGCCATAAGCTTACAATGCTATCAAAAACCTTCAACTCTAAACACATACATATAAATAAAAAGGAATGATGTTTTAAGGCTCTTGATTATTAAGTTAATAAATCAAATATACACAGTGATTAATAAAAAAAAGAATTATTTACATAACTATACAAAAATTCTACTTTTCACACATTTTTCCTCTTTTAAATTCTTCATTTTACCAGCAACTGCTGACATCCAAGGTCCCCCACCCCCCACCAAAAAAAAAAAAAAAAATACAATAAAAAAAATAAATAATAAACTCATTTGTGATAGTTGCTGTGGTTCTGAGCTGCAAAGGCACTTTCAAATACAGAACTACTTGTACGTCATCATAGAACCAATATACAAAAACAACTCGAGAGTCAATAAATATAAATAAAAACTATTCTCCTAAGACTGCATCACCATCAGGACATCTGGCAGAAGCGGAAGCTCAAGGACTAAGGGCGAGACGGTCTCCTGGCGGGCCCGGCCCACGCTTGTCAAACTGCAGGGGAACCCACTCAAGGGCACTCTCGACTGGTTTTGCATAGATGTGTAATGCAGCGCTTGGGTTTCCAGCCGACCACAGAAATTACCCTTGCCAGTGTAAGCCAGCTTGTCAGAACTTAAATTAACACAAGGATTCTAAGTCCGGAACAGCCTTAGACTCAAACGTGACATGACAGTTTAAAGAACTACAAGCCCAGAGTGCCTTTCACCACTACCCTAAGGGTGGTGTCCGCGAGGCGGCAGCACCCGCTGTCTGCTATACGATGTACTCCATCCGGTTCAAGCTTTGGGCACTTTCCAGGTCTCTGTTGTCCTGTTTGTTTGTCCAGTTTGGGTGCTTTGCCGGCGTGCCGTTGGGGGGCTTCTCCTCTCTGTCTACCAGCGTGTACGCCGGCCGCTTGGCAAACCGGGCTTTCTGCTGGTGTTTATCCACGTCATCCTCCTCGACTTCCGAGTTGTGTGTCCTTATTTTGGACATCTTGGAGTTTTTGTTCTCATAATCCTTGATGGGCACGGTGTTGGCCCCGTGCTTCTCGATGGGGTTCTTGATCTGGTTCAGCTGCTCCCGCACGTTGTTGGTGGTGGTGTCCTCGGAGGCCGAGTGAGTGTGGCTGCTTGGCTTCCGCCGCTTCCGCACACACCAGTAGAAGGCCGTCACCAAGCAACAGATCCAAGCCACGGTTAACACAGAGCTCAGCAAGGGAACCAGGAAATCTGTAAGGCAGGCACGAAACCAATTAACTCTCCAAAAAAAAAAAACATCATCACGGGAACAAAAGAACACCAACAGTGAGTGGTGCGCCTGTCCTTAGTCCCTAAAAGGGGCGCCATGGGGACAAGTCCCTTTTCACAACCACATGTTGTCAATTCACAGCTTGATAAGCGAGGGCCGGGATCAGGGCCCTTGGAGACCTCGACTCTTTGGTCCCCGGAGAGGCCAACCGGGGAGAGCAGCGGCTCCTACAGGCTCTCTGACTCCGTGTGGGGAGAGCAGTGTCTGGGTGAGACAAGAGTCTGGCTACTTAGGGAGCTCATTATAGGATCAGATTTTCAGAATTATCAGAAATCTGATGCAAGTGTGGGCGGCTCAAGTGACCCCTGGTTACCGGCCCAACGTCTCACCTCGCCAGAACGGTGATGCACAAGGCAGTCGGAAGGGGAGTCTGGAAGCCCTATGGGGGGCTATCAAGCTGGCTATCAAACCAGCGGCTCCCAGTGCTCTCCTGGGCTGTCCCACGACACCAAATGCCAAGTCAGGCCTTAAAGCCTCGAGTGCAAGGCACAGTGACACTGTGCCCTAGGGCTTTAAGATGGACTGAGAAGCCACACATTTTCTGCAGGACAGCCTGCTTGCAAGACAACAAAGCTTGTCGGAGGAAAAAGTATAAAGTTGACCCTTGTCTCCATCAGCCATATCATCTTGGTCAAACTGGCTGGCTTCAGTTTTCTCACCAGTTAAACAAGGGGCTCCTCTGACGGAGGAACTGTCAGGTAATTCCCCGCCTGATGGTTTTATTCAACAGTGTGATCAAATCGGTTTGAGTCACCACAGAAAGCCACCACTTACTCACCCTCACCCCAGCACCCACCTGTTTTGCTCTTCACAGGACGCCTCTGTACTCTTACTTCTGCTACAGCCGCAATCAGCGAGCTGTTCCCATCACGTTTGCTAACAAGATCTATTATTTTGTCGGTGATTTCCTTGATAGGGTTTCCATCGTCCCGTATGTCCTCAGCCGACTGGAAAAAGCAGAATCGTTACGCTTGAGGGTCAGTGGATACTCCTTAACAGTAGCCTTTATTCAAAATTCCTTGACAATATGGGCATAAAGCTCTTTTTCAATGCATTTGCTCAGCCAAGTTAGGTTGGTGAGCTATCTTGCAATCATAGATCAGGGCGAAAGGGTCTTATACTTACAATGGCCACGTGAATTTCATTGTTGGCTGACGGGGAAGGCTCACAAGCTATGTAGATTGAATATTCAGCAGAAACGTTCTTCAAAATATTCAAATTCCTCAATTCACTGCAAATGTGTTCAGTGGTAAGGCCCTAAAACAAATTTTAGAAGTCCACACAGGTAAGATATTGGAAGGAAAAAAAAAAAAAAAAAACACATATTTTCTTTGAAATGAGGCTAAATTCAAGCCCTGCTTTTATAGAAGACTGGAATCGAAGCTAAGGAAAACTAGATCCTAGCTCGTGACACTCCTGCGTCAAAACATGCAGACATCCACCACTGTGTAAGTTAGAAAAGAAGCTCTTCCATACCGGTGACATCATCTCTTTGTTAAAGGTAAAGGTGATATTGGCACAGCTGTCCTGGTAATAGGAATCGGAGGTGCACTTGGTCTTCACCGGCTGGAGGCTAGAGGACCGGCACTCTCCCACGCCAGTGCAGGGACGTACGAAACACTGATCGTCCAGGATGGGGACACAGCTCTGCCCGCTGGGGCACTCACTGTGCCCTTTGTGCAGCAGGCACGGCCGAGGACCACACCAGACCTGGGGAGAGACGGACAGGAGCCGGAGGCTTAGCAAAAGCACCGTCAACTATCCTAAACACACGGGAGCCATGGCAACCCTCGCGCCTCACCTTGGAGCAAGCGATCCTTCCGTTCAGGCACTGGCAGGTGTTACAGTCATCATCCCACTTGGCCCCATCTGGTATCATGCTCCCCATGGTGATGCAAGGTCTTCCTGAAACTAAATGGTGGAGACACGTGAACGCGAGTTTTCTTTTCTGCAGACTCGATTGCTGTTCTCAGCTCTTCACGCCCTCCCTATTGTGAAATGATGGCCCCTGTGCCCCTGCTATGTGACAACACAGCTCTTCCCACGGTGGGCAGCGCGCTTCCCTCCCCTGCGGTACACTGTGGCCCCCGCCATGGTAGCAGACAACCTATGAGCAGAGTCTTCAACTGGGCTGTCACGGTTGAACTTGGCCTCCTGCACACTTCCCATCTGCCATGAAAAGAACATGCCCCAGACCCCAGATACAGCCACCAGTCCAGGGAAGAGGTGGAGGCACATTGAATAAATCTGAACCCAACCCACAGTATAATTCCTAAAGAAAAACCAGTTGCCATCTAGTCATTCCAACTCATGGTGACTCCATGTGTGTCACAGTAGAACTGTGCTCCATGGGGTTTTCAATAGCTGATGCTTCAGGAATAGATCACCAGGCCTTTCTTCCAAGGCACCTCTGGGTGGACTTGAACCTCTAACCTTTTGGTTAGGAGCCAAGTACATTAACTGTCCGCACCACCCAGGAACTCCATAATCACTCTACCCACCCAATAAAAATAAATGCTTGTTGTAGGTCATCGAGTTTGGGGATGGTTTGTTACACAGCATTATGGCAGCCACAGCTGATTACAAGCAACAGCCCAGTTAACAGCCACCCTGTCTTTAGGAGACTCATCTTGCCTGCTCCCTGCTGCCCACATGAACTGTACCGAGTACAGCACCTGCTCGTGAACAGTCACAACAGCAACTGTTTAACATCCACTCACCCCAAGTGACACATGGGCAGCGGGGCCCTGGCGTACATACCTTCCTGGCACTTGGCACCGCTGTGCCCCGGGGGACAAACACATCGGTAGCCATTGATCTCATCCACACAAGTAGCCCCGAAAGCACAAGGGGAAGACTGGCATTCATTGATGTCTAGGAGAAATGGAATTCAAGTTCAGGCTCCAATGGGAGGCAGCAATGTTTTGTTTGTTTAAGTTTTTATTGACACATACAGATAAAAAAGCATACAAGTCGTTAAGTATAAGCTCCATGAATGTTCACTCACGTAACCAGCACCCAAATAAAGAGATTATCAACCCCTCAAAAGCCTCCTCCATGCCTACTTCCAGTCACTGCCACCCCACCCCCATAATCACTGCTATCCTGACTTCCAGAGCCAGCAATTTTTAATTAAATAAGTTTCTCTCACAGTACAATTTAGAGCAAGGGTGAGCAAACTTTTTCAGTAAAGGGCCAGATAATAAATATCTTAGGTTTTGCAGGCCTTGGGGTAGCTGTCACAACTACTCAACTGTGTCACTGCAGCGTGAAAGCAGCCACAGACAGTACATGTGTTCCAATAAAACTTTATTTATAAAAACAGATGGCACGCTGATTTGGCCCCCCGAGTTTGCCAATCTCTGACTTAGAAACATGAATTGGATACAACCCACCCCCAACTAGTGCTGAAGTCCAGTAAATCCCAGTCTTAGGGATTTCAGACACCAGAAAAAGTTCAAACAATTTGGCGGCAAAAACAAAAAATAATAATACAACTATTCTACCACTTTTTGTTAAAGAAGGGCATATAGAAAAGTAGGGAAAAAAATGTTTGAAATAAAGAATAAAACCATAACTTTGAAAAACTGTATTGTCTCCCCCTGCCCCCTTTCTGTTTTAATCATTTTTCCAGGACCTGATAAAAGCCACCACAGCCCAGCCTTTGAAACTCCAGCCTGGCCCCTTCCATGTGAGTTAGCTCTGTTCCACACCAGCATCCCCGTGGCAAACGTTCCCTTGCCACGTTCCACACCAGTGTCCCCGTGGCAAACGTTCCCTTGCCACGTTCCACACCAGTGTACCCCTGGCAAACGTTCCCCTGCCATGTTCTATACCAGTGTCCCTGTGGGAAATGTTCCCTTGCCACGTTCCATACCAGTGTCCCTGTGGGAAATGTTCCCTTGCCACGTTCCATACCAGTGTCCCTGTGGCAAACATTCCCTTGCCCGTGATTTCACGTTAGTCACGGGGAAGCACACACTCCCCTTGAGGGCTCAGTGTGGATGACTCATCAATTCTGTGGCTGGCACTCTCCCCCAAGAACAGGGAGGGCTGCGCCACCCAGGGAACCACTAGCAGGTACCTGGGAGGAGGCTGCGGAGGAGCATCTTAATCCCAGCTGGAGGCAGGAGATTAGCTGCTCTCTCGGTGCTACTTAAAAGCGAACTTTGGCCTTAAGTGCTTTTAAAGATGAAAAAAGTCTCAGGCTGAAGGACGGGGTGCGGGAATAAAGCCACTGGGAAACCCAGACGGGCCCTTCCTTACTTATTCTGCAGTCAGGCCCAGCAAAACCCGGGGCACATTCACACCGGTACCAGTTGTCTCCGTCCACGCACGTCCCACTGTTGTAACTGAGAGGAAAGCAAAGATGCTGTCAGTTACCAACCTCCCAGTCCCCAATTCCAGCTGCCAATCATCTCACATGCATCCACAATGCCACTTACAGTCAGGGGCGGCCCTCACCCTCACTGCACCTGCCTTTGCCTGGGGGAGCTTTGAAAATAATGATGCCTGGGGCCCACCCCAGAGATCCTAATTCCATCAGTCTGGGTTGCAGCCCAGGCACTGGGACTTTTAAAAGCTCCCCCAGGTGATTTGAGAGAGCAGCCCAGGTTCAAGTCCCTACTTTAAATGAAGACACGACCTGGCTAATGACAGTGTGGCCCGGACCAGCAGGATCAGCATCACCCGGGGTGGGGGTTGTTAGAAATGCGGAGTCTCAAGAAGCCCCACCCAAAGCTGCTACATCAGAACCTGCATTGTACATGAGCTCCCTGCTGGTTCACGTGCACATTCATCTGACAAGTGCTGGTTTAAAAGGTTGGCATGCTTACCAGGGATGAGGACTGCAGTCATTGGTGTCTGCAAGGAAACAAAGAAAAAAAAAAAGTGATTAGGAAGGCCTTCAACAGGGAAAGAAGGGGTCTTAGCCCTAAGCAAAAACACCACTTATTTCCATAACACTCAAATGCTAAAGCCGCAGTTAGCACCAGGAGAATCCATCGAATACTCCAATAAATTGGAACCAGGCTTGCCCCATGCTTTGTTTCCCTGGCCATGGGACACATGTACACAGGAAGAGGCCGTGGTAGGGAGTGGGGAGGGCGTGTGAGAACGGAGGGAGACAGGCTGCTGGTTCGAACCAGCGCTGGGAACCGAGGCTCCATCTGTCTCCACTTATCTTGTGCGCCTTTCTCATGTGCGGGCCAGGGCTGCAGCCCATCAAGTCATTAGAGCAGACCCAGGTGATGCAGAGCCAGACATCAGACGGCTCGGCTTCTGGTTTCAATTCAGAGTCCCCGACGGGTCAGGAGAGGCTCAGTAGTCCTGGGAGAGCCAGGGGGAAGACACTCACTCTGAGTGCAGATAGGCCCTTCCCAGCCTTCTTTGCAGACACACGTAAAGGACTCCCCGTTGACCACACAGGTGCCCCCATTATGGCAGGGGTTGGGCAGGCAGCTACTGTTTCGGGCTGCAAGACAAGAGCAGAAAAGATCAGCTTCTCTGAGGATCCAGATGGTCTGGAGGGGCGAGAACCAGACCCAGGAAGAGGATCCTAAGCTCTGGGAGTTGGGGGCAGACATGCTCAGTGGCCAAGCCCACTGCACATCCCACATGGGGCAGGCAGTTACCTATGTTACAGGTCGTTCCTTCCCAGCCTCCGGGACACATGCACTTAAAAGCATCCCCTTCATCATAGCAGGTACCACCATTGTTGCAGGTGGCCTCGTCACACTGGCTGTCACCTGCAGGAGAAGAGCTCCGTGTGAACCCCTGGCCGCCCCTGCTCCCGCAGAAGACAGGGAGGGAGTGGTCCTGAGAGATGGGATTAGAGGCGAGCCCCTACTTACGCGAGTGGCACGTCTTTCCTTTCCACCCATTTTTACAGTCGCAGTAAAAGTCATTGACCAGGTCCCGACATGTGCCCCCATTGTGGCAGGGGTTCTGGCTGCAGTCATTAATATCTAGAAGGAAAAGATGAAACACTCAGCTGAAGACGTTTCCAGAACTATTCTCAACAGACAGGAGCCAAGCCTTTTCTACCGCCACATCCAACTCCCGCTTTTCAGTCCTCGAGTTGTAAGAACGGTCCCAGGACCTAAACGTGACAACCCCTTTCCAAGAGAAAAGACTCTCCAAACTGGGTTACTCTTAATGCCACAAGTTAGGCAAGATGGGGGCAGACCGCTCTAACTCCCACAGAAATTAAAATTAAGACTGACAGAAATTAAAACCAAAACTGACAGAAAGATGGCTACTCCCTTGCAAGTAGGGGTATTTATTATCCTAATCACACAGTCTCCTTCTAGACCTCAGCAGCAGATGCGCCTCCCTCTGGCTGTTAGCACTAACGGAAGTAAACAGGATGCAGGCAATGCTGCTCGGGGCAGAAATTGGTGGGGTATCACTGCCAGGGGTTTACCATGAAAAGGAGGGAGGCCCCTCCAAGTTGAAGTGAATTACCCCGCCTTCCCCAGCCTTCCCCCACACCCCAGAGCCACCTGTCCCCAAAAGACCACTGACTCACTGGTTTCACAGTAGGCCCCCTCCCAGCCGTCACTACAGATACACTTGTAGGAGTTCACACCATCAATGCATGTACCACCGTTTTTACAGGGATTGCTCTCACAGTCATTAATATCTGTGAAAGGGGGAAAAAAAGAGGGAAATGAAGGACAAGTAATGCACAGGCAAGCACTGTGGTTTTCACAGCTGCCTCCCTAGAAAACACCCCGATACCCCAACATTCTCACTCTCAAAGGACTGTTTCTCAAATTCGATGGGCAGGCCTATCAGGCAGGAGCCTCCAGAGTGCCTGTACATTTTATTCCATGCCCTCACATGCCAAGCTACTTGGTGGGAGTGGGGAAGACACACCTCCAGAGAGAGGGACCACCCAAACTAGTTAAGATTCCAGAACATTCTAAAATAATCATGCTAAGGTTCTGAGGCATTTAGAGTGGTCTGGCAAATCAGACACGCCATCAGTCTTAAATCCCAGGTGGAATCATAAACCTTCACTGTCTCCCTATCTTACTGTTTCTAACTGCCTAAAACACAGCTCGAGGATCCCTGAGCTGGGAAATGCAAGGTGGGGGGCACCTGTGCCCCATTACCCGACGGGGTCTTACTTTCGTGGCAGTATGTTCCAGTGAAGCCTTTGTTACAGTCACAGGTGAATTTGCCTCCCGACTGACTCTTGCACTTGCCGTGGGGACCACAGACGTTCGAGGAAATGTACCGCACCCCTTCGGGAGTGTCGTTGGAGGCCATGGCCACCGTGCAGCTGTCAATCACTAGAAGACAGACTTGGGATCAGACCACAGCCACGGACCCAAAACACACAGCGTTCCCAAGCCAAGCCTGCTTTCCCGGGATGGGCCCCCTTTGGCTGATGATGGTGAGAAGTCAAGAGGCACCCGAGGCCAAGATTCTGGCAACCTGCCATGTCCCACTGTGACAAGCAAAGCTAAGGCTCCAGGTAGAAGGAAGAGTTTTTTAAAAAGCATTTTCTCTCTATGGAGCCAAGTTCAAGAACAGATCAATCTTTCATCCTATTTTGACATCTACCCAAACTGGCTGAAGCTTGCTAAGGAAAAATGACCAGCTTTACTTCTTTCAGGACAAGCTGCCCCATACAGTAGCCACGAGCCACACGTGGCTATTTAAATTCAATTGAAATAAAATGTCCATTGCCCTAGTTACGTTCTGAATGTTCACAGCCACATGCAGCTCGTGGATGTTGTACTGGACAGCACAGATATAGAATGTTTCCACCGCTGCAGGAAGTTCTATTGGGCAGCGCTGCTGTAAGGAATTTGCTTCACGGTTGCAAATCAGCCCACCCGAGAATAGCAATGATAAATGGACTTCACCTCTCTCCTCTAGGCTACTTGTAAACACAGTTCTCCCAAGGGTGGGCCCACAGAGATTGTTTCCACGTGTTCTGGCTTCTCTACGCCCTCAGGTAAGGCAGGGCTTTCTATCTAGAGGTGCTCCTCATTTATACTACTTCTGAGAGTGCCAAGGGGCGGTGACAAATGGGGAGGGCAGTACCTTCGCAGGGGGTCGTGCGGCAGTGGTCCTTCAGGTGTGAGCAGTTCTTGCCCTCGTAATCCTCAGGACACTTGCAGAAATAGTCGCTGGCACGGTTGTAGCACTGGGCACCATTCTGGCAGGGATTGGGCTCACAATAATCTATGTCTAACTGCAAGTATCGGGAAAAGGGGAGAAGAATCAGCGTAAAACAAAGGTGTAGTAACTTCTCCGGGGCAGCCGACACGGGAATCTGACCCCTTCATCTGTTTCTATCAGAAGAACTCGCTGCAGAATACACATTCAGAGCCTAGGGACAGCCATGGTTCAGGTAAGCATTTAAAAAACCTGGGCAGAGTCAGAGAGAGCTGTGTGGTGGGGGATGAAACAGAACACAAAGCCAGATTTAGGCTGGCTACCAAAAAAAAACCAAACCCGTTGTCGTCGAGTTGATTCTGACTCATAGCGACCCTGTAAGAACTGCCCCATAGGGTTTCCAAGGAGCAGCTGGTGGATTCGAACTGCCGACCTTTTGGTTAGCAGCCAAGCTCTTAACCACTGTGCCACCAGGGCTCCAAAAAAATCATTCATCAATATCTCTTTCCACCAGCATTTGTCTAGCAGAGATCCCCAGTCAACAGGATGTTAACAGATTTCACACAAACTCTATGGACACCAGAGTCAAAGGGGACCCAGGGGGCAGGGAGGAGGGGCAGGCTCCGCTGTGAAAATGTGGCCATCTGAGGTTTCACCACCACTCACCTGACAGAGGTTTCCCGAGAAACCAGTGGGACACAGACACTGGAATCTGTTGATTTCATTCTGACAGTGACCCCCATTCAAACAGGGGTTGCTGGCGCATTCATCGATGTCTCTCTCACAGTGATCGCCTGCATAGCCAGGTGGACAGATACAGCGATAACCATTAACCAAATCCTGGAGGAGAAGGAGGGGAGAGACACATGCTTTTTTCCCTGTGCACTCCACAAACACAGGGCTTCGGGGGTATAGTGTGACTGTCGCGGTTCAGCTGATTCACTGACTCAGTTGAATGCCAAGCCTCTTGAAACGTTAGCGGCACATCTATTAGCACACCTTCAAGATGACGCCCAGGACACTGGGGTAACGTGAGCCCTGGGTTAAACGTCGATGGACTCACTTTTCACCTGCACTCTCAAACCTTGCAGGGACAAAGCTCCCCCAGAGCCACATACATCTTAAGATTTGTCTCCAATTGCCAAAGTTTTGATTGAGGTGAAGGTTTACCTACCCGACAAGAGGCCTCATTCTGACACTGGCCGCGACAGTCGTTAATATCTAAAAAATAAACAAGGCATCCCATTAAGGAGGCAACTTACATTGAAACTGGGTTTAATTGAAAAAGTCTCCTTCGCTCCAGACAGATAAAAGCTTCTAAATCAGATTTCCTGCATGCTTCCCTTGAGATAAGGCTAGTGTGCTGGGTGGGAACCCACCCTAATTCTTCCAGACTGAGCCTGGTGAGACTTCACAGTATTGTTTTAGCCTTCTTATCAGAATATGGCCGTTACCAGCTAATGAGTCTGATAAAGTCTCTGTTTTCATTTCCGTGCTGACTACACCCTCTCGAAAAACTTTCCTTCTAGTACCCAGGTCTCAGAGATGGCACCCAAGTATGGCCAACGCTGCCCCCACCCAAGCTTTTGTGAAAAGCAAGATGGAAACAAAGTCACTCACTGATGTCACAATTCTGCCCTGTCCAGCCGGGAAGACAATCACAGTAGTAGCTCCCAATCAGATTCTTACAGGACTTGGCATTTACACAAGGTTTGGCCTCGCATTCATTTGCATCTGAAAGAACATGAGGATGAGCAATGAGAATCGGAGTGCTACCCCATCCCTCCCCCCAAAACCCACACACCAATAGTCTGTCTGAAGTATGAGACATTTTAATATGCGAGTGAACTAAGAGATACTAGGTTCACTGTACTTTGAGTGTCTCAGCCCTCTCTCTGGCTGTTATCCAACAAGCAACGCTCCCTGATAATTCTCTGACTGCTGGTTAATAACAGGTCCCCAAAAGAAGAGCAGAAAGCCACCAGGCATCTCTGTGAGAGGCCGCCTAGTTGCTGGGATTTAAATGTGGCAAAAAGAATGCAGACAGCTCATTCCTCATGAGATCATCCGCGATTTGGAATCCAGCTGAACACTCCTCGGACAGACGATTGACATGGTTCAAGGAATCTTATGACTTTCCCACAGGGCCTAAAAGGGCAAGGCCATTTGCATTCAAGTTTTTCTCCCAGGCCCGCTAGACTCTTGATAATAAACGACTGCAGAGTATAATGCAGTACTCACTCACAGCTGGCCACATGCTCATCTTCCTGAGCAGCTCTGGTTATCAAAGCCACCCTTTGTACAGGAATTACAGTTACAGAAATTTTCTTACCTATCTGGCACGTCTTGCCAGTCCACTGGGGAGAGCACACACATTTAAATCCGTTAACCAAGTCCTGGCAGGTCCCCCCGTGGGAACAGTTATTTGGAGAACAGTCATCAATATCTGTTTAACGAAAAGCAAAGGCACAGGTCACTTCATTTCAATCCGTTTGACAATTAGATTGAACGCCACCTCCGGCACGAGGCCGCCTCACTTGTAAGCCTGGTACCCACTACAAAGAAAGCCACAGAAGGACGAGGGGGCAGTGGTGTGACGGCAGGCTGGAAGCTTTTTCTTTTTTAGCTTTAAATCCTCCACTGCCCCAGTTCACTTAATCCCCGACCTAAGCAGTGGGGGCAGGATGTGCATGGCTGGGTGGAGGGTTGAGGGGGAGGCAACGGGCCACAGCTGAGCATCAACTATCTGGCAACACAGCACATCTATATCTGCCTCGTCTTTATATTTTGAGTCTCATCAGCACTCAGACGTAGCTAAGAGGAGGTAAGGAGAAATAATACCTCTTTACAGGTGAAAGCCCTACCCTACTTCCACACTAGACTATTTAAAAAACAAAAAACAGTTGAGTCGATTCCGGTTCATAGCGATCTCCTGTGTATCAGGGTAGAGATGTGCTCCATAGGGTTTTTGGTGGCTGATTTTTTTTTTTTTTTGGAAGCAGATTGCCAGGCCTTTTTTTCGAGGTGCCTCTGGGTAGACTTGAACCTGTAACTTTTTTCAGTTAACAGCCAACTGCATTAACCGTTTATACCACCCAGGGACTCCTACACTGGCTTGTAGAGGCCTCTTAACTCATTCACTGAGCACTGAGGATGTGCTGGGCTCTGTTTATGAACCTGCCCATTTAGTCTCCGGAATAACAGGAGGAGTGGGGAAATTGTTAGGATTCCATTTAATCAGGGCTGCAGTGCCGGACCAGACCCCACTGTGTGCTGCTGCTCTTGGGGTGCTGTGTAACTGTGGTTCTCAGGCCTGCGTGCACCTCAGAATCCAGGGGCTTAGTAAACAATACAGCCTCTCCCATTCAGGGTGGGGACTGTGGGGTCATGAAGTCTGCATGTAAAGCCCCTCAGGAGGTTCTGATGTACAGACAGGTTTCACAGCTGGGGCAACAGCACAGCCGTGTACACATCTGCAGGCTCTTCTTTCAGGGTCACCTGCCCCCATGGCAAAAGTCAGCGGTGACTTGCAGGTAGTAGGTGGCCTCTGCCTGCTGCAAGGAGAATAACCATGATTTGGATGAGCTCTGAGAAGCACATGTAAAGGAATGAGCTATCCCAAGAAAGCATTTCTTCCAATGTGTAACAGATACACACGCTAGCTTAGTGAGGTTTCCCCCGAATGGCACAAACAGGTAAGTGCTCAACTACTAGCTAAAAGGTTGGTGGTTCAAACCCACCCAGAGGTGCCTTGGAAGACAGCCTTGTGATCTGCTTGCAAAAGGTCACAGCCCTGATAACCCTATAGAGCAGTTCCACTCTGCACACATGGGAACACCATGAGTCAGAATCGATAACTTACAACCTGCTAGCTTAGCCGGGGGTAGGATGATGGTATGGGAGATTTCCAGATGCACAAGCTGGAAGCTCAAGCCACCAGACTTTCCACCCCGCTCCCGCTGAGAAGATGCTTCACTGAGATGTTCACACGGGACCATGAGCCCAGGTATCTCTTCCCCCAACCCTGTGTCTTGGTGCAACGATCCTCTGGAAGGGACGTGGGCCACAAACCCGACTTACTCGTGGAGCATGTGGGGCCGGTCCAACCTGGAGAACACCCACACTCAAACCCCAGCGATGTTTCCTTGCAGCTTCCTCCGTTGTGGCAGGGATCAGAGAGGCAGGCATGCTCCACTGCAAAACCAGGATATCAGTCAGCAAGAGACACCTGGTCTGTGCCACCTACACCCCCACCCCCAAATCCCACACCAGGTGACCAGCTCAAGTATGTTTCAAAAACAAAAGCAAGTTTGTGATACAGCCCTGCTGTCAGTATCGAGGGTGAAAGGAAGCCATTTTTTCTTGCTCAGCTGTCTCCAGCCACATTCCAAGGCATCTAGAAGCTGGGGTCACTTGCATCTCATACTGCCTCCTACACTAACCAGCATCACCCAAATAACTTCAGGGACTCATGAAGGAAGTTTCAATGACCTAGAGCTGCTGGGATAGCTAGTCTTAACTTTGGAAGATATTTTCGCCTTTTGACAAGAACTTAAGTATTTAAGTTCAGTGTACAGAAAAATTATGGGATCCCATTGAGCCTGGACCACTTACCAATTTCACAGTTGGGTCCCGAATACCCCTCGGGGCAGGAACACTGATACTTGTCAGGACCCGTGTTGCTACAAGTTCCCCCATTGAGACACGGCTGATGAGTCCCGCAGTAATTGAGATCTGCCAAAAAGATCCTGAAGTCAACGACAGACTCTAAAGACTGCCAAAGCCATGATGTTCCTAAGCTCCATGCCACTTTTAAAATGAAAACAAAACCAAAACAACCCAAAACAAAACAAAAACCCACAGCGTTAAAGGTAAATTCAGATAGAATCAGGATGAAAGTAACTACACACAAAAAAAAATAAAAATAAGAGAACCAAACCACCACCATCCCCACCCCCAAGATCTCGTGGCCCTGAGGACCACATTCCACCCGCGCCGTGCCTCTGTCCCTGGGGTGCGTACCTTTGTCACAGAGCTGGCCACCCCAGTTGGTCTCGCAAAGGCACTGCCAGGGCTCGATGCAGGTGCCACGAACGCAGCCGGGGTGCGGGATGCACTTGTCGCAGTACAGGCCCTGCCAGCCGTACTGGCACCTGGACAGAGACAGCACCCCTTAGCCTCCGGAGCACCAAGGGAGACGTGCTTAATGAGTGCAGGAGACTACACCATCCAGGGCTTTCTGTTGTTTTGCTTTTGGTGACAGCAGGGTAAATTGTCAAGGTTTGTCTGGGGCTCCTTATAAACAAACATGTTAACAGTTGGTCTCCTCCCAGCAGGCTCCTGACAAAAGGGGGGCTGTTTGGGGAGAGGCCAGCATGGCACAGCCTGTCCTGTCACAAAGCCACTCTCTTCTCGGGCGCACACAAACGAGACTGGGGTGGGGGTGTGGCATCAATCAATCCCGGGACTTTGTCCACAGACTATAGAGGGAAAAGGAAAGGACTGTCCAGTGACAATGGTCCTGTGAAAGTCTCCGCAGAGGCAGCGTTTGCAGCCATCTTTATACAGCAGCTTGGCTGGCCTCTTTGTCTCAACAGCAAGTCGTGACCCCGGCACACAAAAATGCAACAAGACACCAAGTGCTGGAGGAAACTGCGTCGGCTTGATGCCGCAGCTTTATAAAACCAAACAAACGAGGAAAGAAAGGGGCACCCTCCTTGTGTAACGATGAGGGTGGAATCTCTAAATCCATTTCTGCAGGAAGGGGGAGGGAAGCAACAGCCCTTGGAACCAATTCAACAGATAATTTATGACCCATTACTGTTGATGTTTATGCTAATTTATAGTTATTTCTCGCTTTGCCAAAAAAAAAAAGGTCACCTGAGTTTATCTGGTTTATCTGGTGTTGGGGAAGGGAGTCGAGTTTACTTTATAAGCGCCTTGTTAATCAGACTCTATCGGAGCCAAATGGTGCCTTTGATCCCCAAACAAAAACACAAATATAAACCTTCACCTGGGGTGGGGGAGAGGGCAGGGTCTCTGACCAGTCTCCCCTCATGTTTCAAGCCCTCTGAAACTTTAACTGCCTTCTCAAAAATCAAGTGCTAACAAAGGTGGGTGGGGAGGCAGTGGAGACCCACCAAATCTACCACTAGGAATGCAGGTGGGGCGAGTGAGGAACAGGGTGAGCAAAATATTTCCACAACAGGACCTGGGAAAAAGCCACAATCAGAACCAAGCACTCCCCTGAGTTGCTCGGCTGTAACGCTGGCAAACAAGCCCCCACAGAAGGAAAGGCGTTCAGTTTCCAGAGAGCTGGAGTCAGGCGAGCAAATCCTTGTCATGGGAAAATTATAGGATCTAGCTAATAGCTAATCACCCCGGGCCAAGAATCAGCTTAACCCCTGAGAATACTGACTAACCACTTCCTAAGTTTTAAAAGCAAGCCATCCACACCCAGATACAAAGAACCACAAGAATATGCAGTTTAAGATTAATCACATTCCGTGTTCTAGTTTATGTAAAATGTTAATGTCAGTCTAAATGGCAAGTGACTATTTAAAGGAGGAATATACGAGCAAAATAAACCTGGTCGAAATTTTACAAATAAAAGAGAATAACCAAGTTAGTGGGAGGTGGGTAGATTCAGTCTGTAAAGATTCATGTTCTCAGCTTGATAGATAAGAGGGAACTAATCTGGAAAAAGCAATATCGTTGCTGTCTTCTCTTATTCTCTTGCAAATTAAGGATCACTACACCTCTTCAATTTGCCCAATAAAAGCAAGAAGAGGCAGCTGAGGACCCAGTCTCACAGCTTAATTAATGGAGAGCTCAATCCCCAAGCATAAAAAAGGAACCTCAAGAGGCCATGGACGACATCAAAAGAAAACAAACAAAAATACTGACCCTAAAAGAGGCATCCACAAAGTTATCCCAGTTTAATAATATATGATTAAGGTTCTCATGAGAAATTGAAGCGACTTTCCTCATATGATGATTCATATTTAAGTTTGACATTATTAGCAGGCTTGCAATAAAGTTCGCCCGGGAAAGGTAGTCTGCCCTGCCTGGGAACCACAAAACCAGTAAAGTTTCCCCAGGCTTAAAAAAAAAAAAAAAAAAAAAATCTGTAATACATAATCCAAAAGACAACTTACAGGGAACTTGCCATTCAACCATGTCTGGAGAAGGACGCACCCTGAACTTCCTTAGCTAGAAGGTTCTGTTTTGATTTTCTTTCAAGGTAGGAAGAACCAAATGGGCTGGAAGACTATGCAAATGGCATGTGGGAAAGTTGCACCTTAAGCAAACAAGGGCACCAGTGCGTGTCTGGGCACGGAGTGGGAGGTGAGACTTTGAAAGAGAAAGGGCTCAATTCTGGAAACAAAGCCTGTTGTTCCAGCTGGGAGGGTCCTCTCCCTGCGAGGCAGTGTGTGTATTCTGATGACAGTAGCACAAATCGCTGTCAGCCTCTGCTGATACTCATCTGAGCATGGAGCAGCTCTCTGAACACAGCTCTCTGAGCATGGAGCAGCTCCGAGTCACTAATAGCACCTCAGATCTGACTTTCTCCAGAACACCCTTAATTAGGAAGAGTTAATGTAGGTGGATTCCTGCTCAGCCTCTGACAGCCATGCTGTTAAATACTATAGTCGGCTGCCTCCAATGGCGTGACTATTCCAACCAGCAGGGCGAGTACTCCCCTGTCAGCCTTCCAGAAAAAAAAACTCTTTCCGATGTGGAAGAAGACAACTTCAGGACAGCCTACTTTTGACTTCCAACTGCCTTGAATCCCATTTTAGCTTCAAGCCTCAGAGTTCGGTGTTCCCCTTGCAGGGGAGACGAACAGAGTGGTGACATCTTAAAGGTAAAGGTCCCAGACCGTTCTCCCTAAAGCAGCAGTCAAAATTTGCTGATCAGTAAAATCATGGGATGAGCTTGTCAAAATGCAGATTCCTGGGCCATCAAACTGAGGGAGTGGGATTCCGCAGGCTTGGCATGGCGCCCAGGAATCTGCACTTTAAGAGTTAATTCTGGGAATTACGCTTTTGAGTACTGAAGCTTTTGGGGCAACGCTTCCCAAAGCAACATCAACATCACTTGTCAGAAATGCAGAGACTTGGTCCCAACCCAGACCTACCGAAGCAGGATCTGAATTTTAACAAGAGCCTCAGGTAATTCCGTTTGAACCACACTGGTTTCAATTCACAAACTTCTCTTAGCTCAAACCAGAGTGGCATTAGGGGCAAAAGTGGCAGACCCAAAGAACCCACTCAGTGTCATATTACATCTGCTACTCCTTAAAAATTTGGGAGGAGGGAGAGGAAAAGTATGAGACTGTGTCAAAACGCCACAGACACCAACGTTTTGTGTAAGGAGCCTTTCCCAAAGTGGCATAATGCACATTTCAAGAAGTTCCCTCAAACCGTCATCTTGGAGGGGGGCAGGGGGGTGGTTAGGTCTCCGTTTGGCTTTTGCATTGTCCGGAACCATAAAAGAACCAACTTCAAAGGCCAGCAGCAAAAGTCTACATTCATCAGGCTCAACTGACAAGATTCCAACGCAGCCATTAACCTCTCAGCACTGGCTGGGCTTCCGACTGCAAAGGGGCCAAGAGATTGTACTAATCCCATTCTAAAGAATGCTAGCCTCTCGCCTATTGATGGGAAAAGTGGGGGAGGGCAGGCTGAGGAAAAACCGGGGCGGGAGAGGAGAGACACGAGGAAACATGCCCACAGCCCTCCATCTTAGTCCATTAGCACTTTAAGCTGAAGATTACAAAAACGTGTTATCAATTTACAGAACAGTTAATACATGAAGTCACTGACTATGCCCATAAGATTTTTTTTTCTCTGAGAGAGAAGTGTGTACATTCCACCAGACAGCTGGGATAATGAAATAAGCTTCGGATGTGACTTTTTTTTTTTTTTTAAGCTCTCTTGTCCTCCAAAGAAAGAGAGGCACATTCACAATAAAAGTCAATCCCCTACTTGCATGAAAGGAAAAAATACTACGTGAAAACACAAACGGTATGTAGTTGTTTACCTGCAGTCACCAGGGAGTTTGCAAGACCCGTGCTTGGGACTACAGCCCTGTCGGCAAATAGCTGTAAAAAACAGAAGGACGCATCAGCATGCTGCCTGCTTCATGAGAACGGCCTAGTACTTTAAGCCTACAAAATCCAGGATTTTAAGAGATCTCATGTCAAGCCCATTGCAAGGAGAGGAAGATGGGAGGTGCCCAAAGAACAAACTCAGCTTTAAACTTCAAGGCCACGGTTAGCAGATCCTCAAAACATGATCTTGTTTGGGGACAAAATGCAAGCAAGTTGATGGGGGGAAGGGGCCTTCATCCAGCCTCTCTGCACAATAGCTACCCTGCTCCCTCAGCGATGCCCTGTCATTTCCCACCCGGCCCACGTCCAACCTCACCAAAAGAAAAAAGAAAGCTATAGATAACCTTGTCCCATGCTACCCCACACTGTCCCATCAGGGCACATTCAGCCTCCATAACCTCCCACCAAATACCTGGTCTCAAAACCCCATGTGGCCAGCAGAACCACGCAGGCTGGCTTCATTTGCTGGGCTAACGGGGTGGCCAGACCTGGTGGTACATTCTCAAAGTATCCTCGCAAAACAATGCTGCTTCTTTCATGAAAAAAATTTGGGCAGACATGGAAAAGTACTAAACATTGGCTAGTTTTAGTAACTGTTGCAGATTTTTTAAAATACCGGCTACTTAAAATACATTTAACCTATCAACTCCTCTTTTTGTTTGGATTCCAGAAATGCCATCCCTTTTAAACACTTGTCTCCAGTTATTTAAGAAAAGAAAAGCGGTATTGCCCAGGAGACTTGCAAACTCCTCCCTCCTTTCCCTGTCCTCAGTAACATTTCAAAACAAATTCATTTCTTAATTGGAGTTTATCTTGAAGGAATTCACCTAATCATGTGAAATAAGCAGAGTTGCGTTAACGTTCATGAGGAGGTATTACATGGTTAACTAGAATTACCCATGAAGTCGCCGTGAATAAGAATCACTGAATTCTAGTAGGCGGGGCTGGGAGAGCAGACAGCCCCTTAGAAAGCTGATCTACTTTCCACCCTACACATGTAAGACAGCTCAAGCCCACTAGCTATCCCTCCCCTCCCTCAACAACAGGGCCCCCAAAGATGGCCAGCGAAAGCTCAGGGGCTGTCATTTCCTACAGGACTGTCTGTTCAAACTTTGACAGGCTAACTCTGTCCCGTTTGACATCTGTTTTAGGTCAGGTTCCTTAGAAGCAGAGCCTGAGAAGGGAACTTGGGCATAGGAAGAGGGGAGGGAAGGCAGTGGACAGGGCAGAGGGGGGAGCTGGGCTCAGCTAGACGCTGGCTCAGCCAAAGGGGAGCTCTGGGGTGTGAATGGACCACCAAGTAAGGGAAAGGAGGCTGACCTTTGTACCTCCATGTCAGTCATTCACTGACTCCTGGGCTGGAGGGATGGGGCCTCTAAGTGGCTCCTGTTGAGCCGAGAGGACAATTCTCAGGAGGAGCACGGGGGAGCTGTTCACAGACAGCCCTCACAGCAGCTGAGTGAGGGGGCGCCTGCCAGGTGAAAGGAACCTGGACAGGGCACCAGTGGCTTCTTCTACTCAGCATCATTACGCTTCAGGCCTAGACAACAGCCAAAATGCCACCTAACCACTGCGGAGGTGAGAACTTCTGGCACCAAAGGTAACACCACTGGGGGCTGGCTAACCCATGTACACACGTACACACACACCTCGGTTACACTCGGGCCCCATCCAGCCTTCCATGCAAGTTTTGTTGCCGTTCTGGTCACAGGCATAATGTCCAAAGAAGTCATCTCTGGGTCGGCAGAACTTATTGCAGCCAAAGCCGTAGTAATAGTCATCACAGGTCACTCGGATCTGATACTCAAAATGGGCGACCCCTGTGTTCTGCTTCAGCGTCTGCCACTGCCGGCTGGGGTTGATCATGCCCGAGTGAGAAGCCTTTTCAATAATGTTGTCAGGTTCTAGAGGCAAAAAGAAAAAAAAAAAAAAAAAAAGCAAGAAACTAAAAAAAAAAAAAGATGCCTCCTTTCCTGACCATTTTGGCTGTTTTAAAATAACATATGCACATGGTACAAAATTCAAACAGGATAAAAGGGCAGAAAACAAAACGTTC